AATTATGCTGCTATTGGTGGTGTCAGTGGGAGGAATAGTGCCCCATCATTGCTGTTAGTGGGAGGAATAATGCTCCATTGCTGGTGTCAGTGGCAAAAATTATACCCCTATTGTTGGTGTCAGTAGGAGGAATAGTACCCCAAGGGCTAGATACAGGCAAGCAAAGGGTCATATTCGGCTCCCGGGCTGCAGTTTGTAGACCACTGGCATAGACTCTATAAGACTCTATGGCAACAGAGTCAATCTAAGAATCAGTACTTTAGTAAAACATCACGGATCACAAACTAATAGTTGTTGGGTGGGGCTTGGAGGATCTGCATGCCACTAATTTTATTTCGCCAAGTGTTAGCATGGTAGTATTGCTTTATGTGTAAGTAAGCCAAAGCACTATATCATACTCCACACAGGAAAGACAACATCTTTTCACCTACCAGTGACACCTGTTCCAGCATTGACTACAGTTATTTTGAGGGAAATAGCATGAAACACTCATTTTCCTCTGCCAGTTCTTTAACACGTTACAGTTTACACTTCAACCAGAAGGCATGGACGGAAGCTACTGTATACTCGGGGAGGCCTCTCACACTCATGGTCCAGGCCTAGTACATAGGAAGGTTTAGCTACACAGCAGGCCCTGACTTTGTGTCCCTGCCACTTAGAAGGACAAAACATACAGCCACCAATCCACCTCTCTGACAGAACCTCCGTCACCAAGCCATTTCCTTTTACTTACCACTCTCTAGTACCCATAAAGTCAATGTGAATATCAAGCTTCGTTTTCTGTTCCCATACACTGTAGGATTTCACTCTGTATTCCCAGTAAACCAGACCAGATAATTCTCTTAACCAGCTACTCTGTTTGAAGAAGTCTTCTACGTTATCCCATTTATTCAGTAGACAGTTTGATTTGAGCACTCACATGGCAATGCAATAGTTTATCACATGGTCAGTGTTCCTCTTTAAATCTTAGGCAGGATTTGGGCTATGCTGTGGTGTCTCATACCTTTAGCTTGTAATACTTCTTATCCAAGTCCCGACAAGGGGTCCCCCACTTGGGTGCAACTCTACACTTCCTTGTGTATGGTCCTACTCATTCCCACAACCAACAAACCAATGGCCCAACCCCTTCCTCCTGCAATATCTCTGCTAAAGGAATTGAGCGCCAAGGATGACACTTCATCTGACTGGAACTGAAGTACTTTGGTAATCAGCAAGAGGCTTCCCACATTACCAGCCAATGGAACCATTTAGTATCGTGACATCAAAGCCCCTCCCATACATGTTACGCCACTGATCACGTGGCTTAATCATTCCCCCTGATAAAGGGGGAATAATGAAGGCACGATCATGCAATGCTGCACCCAAACAAAATGTGTATGCCCTTTTTTCACACAAATAGAGCTTTCTTTTGGTGGTATTTGATCAGCTCTACGGTTTTTAACATTTTGTGCTATAAGCAAAAAAAACCAAACATTTTGAAAAAAAAACAATATTTTTCACTTTTGCTTATAAAAGATGTCCAATAAATTCCAAGTTAGTCATACATTTAAGACAAAACGTATTCTGCTACATGTCTTTGGTAAAAAAAAAAATCTCAACACCTGTATATTTATTGGTTTGTGCGAAAGTTATAGCGTCCACAAACTATAGTATGTATATTGGAATTTCCAGAGCTTTTTCTGACTGCCTATCACATTTCTTGAGGTGCTAAAATACCAGGGCAGTACAAACTCCCTCCCCCCCCCCCCCAAAAATTACCCCTTTTTGGAAAGTAGACACCCCCAAAGATTTTGCAGAGAGGCATGTTGAGTCACTTAAATGATATATTGCTCATGCATGCCATGGGTATATGTTGAATAACACCACAAAACACATTCTCTTACTTCTCCCGGGTATGGAGATACCACATGTAAGAGGCTTTTCACAGTCTAGCTACATACAGGCCCCAAAAATCCAATGACCAACTCCAGGATTCAAAGGGCATATTTCCTTATATCACTTCCCCAATACCTATCACAGTTTCGGAGGCCCTAAAATGCCAGGATAGTACAAACACCCACCCCAAATGACCCCTTTTTGGAAAGTAGATACCACAAGGAATTTGATGAGAGGCATGGTGAGTATTTTACAGATATCATTTTTGTCACACAGGGTTGTGAAAAAGAAAAAAAGAAAAGAAAAAAATACATTTTTTGTTTTCTTTCTTCGTTTTCCAAAAACGTGGCAACAAATGAGATCTGCAAAATACTCACCCATGCCTCTTGGCAAATACCTTGGAGTGTCTACTTTCCATAAAATGGGTCATTTGGAGGGGTTGCTTCTACTATCCTGGCTTTTCAGGGCCAACATTAGAAGCTTATGCAACACATCACCCACTCTTGAAGACCAAGACATTTCTGACACTCGTTCACATGAAAAAAACTGGGTTTTTTTTTGCTAGAAAATTACTTTGAACCCCCAAACATTATATATTTTTTTTAAAGCAGAAGACCTGGAGAATAAAACGGTGGGTGTTGAAATTTTTTACATCACACAATATTTGGGCAGCAATTTTTCAAACTCAAATCTTTTGGGAAAAATACACTTTTTTGAATTTGAATGCACAAAACCACAGTATATTGCCCAATTGTTGGATAAAATATATAAAAGATGATGTTCCACCAAGTAAATAGATACCAAACATGACATGCTTTAAAATTGTGCATGCCCATGCAATGGCGACATAAATTTTTAATATCAATTGGTGATGCTTGAAAAGCCTTTACAGGTCACCAATTTACACAGGAGATCTACTGCTTTTTTTTTTTTTTTTAGTTATTTTGATTTTACACTGTCCCTTTTATTTCTTTTTTTTATCACTTTTATTGCTATCACATGGAATATAAATATTCCCTGTGACTGCAATAGGTATTTTTTTTTTAGAAATCTGGGGTCTATTAGATATCTCCTCTGCTCTTACATCATCTGATCTCACCAAGATTGCTGTGATCAGATGCTTTCCCAATTTACAAATGGCACTGTTAAAGACTGGCGAAACGGAAATTATGAAATGCTTATAGCTTCCGGTCTCTTAGACCATAGAGATGATCGGAGCCATTTTGGTCTCTGATCAGCTCTATAGTCAGCCAGCGGAACTGCTGACTGCATTATCGAATTCCCCTGTGGGACCAGAGAGCCCAAGAAAACTGTGGAAGGTGGTGAGGGGGGTGTCCCATCCCGCTGCTTGTAAAAATGATTCAGCAGCTAATTGGCCACTAGGATTGCTTTTAAATGAAAGCTGACTGCCAATTGAAAAAAAACAATACCAGGATGATGCCTGTAACTGCAGGCATCATCCCGGTATAACCACTCAAAGTCCCGTGAAGTACCAGTATATTGCTGTTCCATGTCGGGCATATACTGTATGTAACAGAAGAGAGCATGGATATATGATAAAATCGGGTCTGTAGACCAATATGACCGCAATTTTTTTTTCAAATGCCCATGTTGAGGGTTAGACCCAAAAAATGTTTTAAATTCAGAAACCGTGATAGGTTTCCATGTGAATTGTCTTGCAAGAGCTGAATTTGGGTTGGTGGCCATGTATTGTTGTGTGTATAAATTGCCTTGGCCCACAATCAATTGGTATAAATCTTCCATGAAAAAGAAGTGGAGGGGCTAAATGCTAGTGCTGGCAGCGAATGGGGCTGATCCTGCTAACACTGCGTTTTTGGGTACACTATACAACGGAGGCACTAGTATAGTTCTGTTCATGATCATTATGTGGATCTGTACAAACACTATACTAGTAATTGTGGTGATCAGCGACCTATAGCGTGAGTGTGATAGTGTGCGGGCAATCTAACGCTAGCTGACCCTGTCTGGGAGGGGCGCTAACTGACCCTGGCGTTATCTGATGTCACTAGTGACAGGAATACAGTGATCAATGAAAAATTCTATATACTGACACTGTACTATTGGCACTGGCTGGATGACAGGATGATCAAAGGGTTAATATGGGTGATCAAAGGGTTATATGTGCTAATCTAACGTGTGTATGTGTAAAATGTAATGCTTTTACTCGGTGCCGTGTTCTCTCTTCTCTCCCTGGACCGACCAGGGGGTGGCAGGGGGCGCAAGTGCATTCATGCCCCGAAATAGAAAGCAGCGTAAGATTACATTGCTTTCCCAGAGCTTCTGTGGAGACACTCTGCACATGCTGAGTTTGGTGTGTATTGCTATAGAGGTTTTTTTTTTTTTTCTTGGGAGAATGTATGTGATCAGCACATGGCCAAACAGCACCATCTGGACAGAGGTCAGGGGTCTTGCATCCTCCTAGAGCAAAATGAAAACTCCTCCTACATCTTTAACATGTGCTCGGCTGGACACTGATATAAGTCACAAGACTTCTCTAACTGCTGATGAGAAAAGGTATTTAGCAGTTTATAGTTTCTAAAATAATTTCACTTCCATGTTCTGTGTACTGTGGGAGAGATCAGACATAATGAATTCAGGGTCCTGGGTTTAGTAACACTTTAAATCCCCTTTCTTCTCCATTCTGATGCTTGGTTTGAACTTCAGGAAGTTGTCTTTACGTCTAGATGCCTAAATACATTGAATTGCTGCCATGTGATTGTTGATTAGCAATTTGTGTTACCAAGCAATTGATCAGGTGTATCTAATAAAGTGGCCTGTGAGTGTATAAAGTACAGTACTTTTCAGAACAAGTTTTTTAGTAAACTAAATTATAAAGAAATACATTGTACTGTGTCCTGGACCTTGGTTCCAATACCATGATGGTGACATTTCCCATGCTGTTCCTTTCCCCAAGTGTAAACTGAAGTCCTCTACAATTGTCACCATCTTATGTCAGGACGACTCTAAATAGTTGCTTCATTGTTCTCTAAAAGCCTGACAAATGCACCCAAGAAAGATAACTCTGTGTGGTTCTTTTTTAAAATGTCCACGTAATGTAAGAAATTACCTCTAACCACTCTGTGTGAACTATTTTCTTCTTTTTGCAGACTGAAAACCTTAATGGAACAAGGCCACAGCATCCAAAGAGCAGTGAGTTAAATTATTTTTCTCCTGCAGTGTTTTGCCACTTTCCACTCAGCTACAGTCTCGTCTTTGAAATGAAACTTTCTCCTAGCTGGGGAACATAATTAAGTGTTGACGTCTTTAAAGGACTTGTAGAACCTAATGAAGTAAAACTGTTATTTTTTTTTCAAGTTTCTTGTTTTATGAAGAGATCCCTGTATATTTGTATTGTTTAGTTTTACATTATGTTCCAGTGCAGTAATTCTGTTATGTGCTCCATATACCAGAGAAGAATTCATACACTTTATTCTAAGCTTCTAGGTTCTACCAGGTCCAGTCCTTCAAACTGGCATTATTCTATCACCAAACCCCTATACTAGTCCAACTGGTCCCTCAGCATGGATCAGTGTTCGAAACACTCTTTTCTGAAAAAACATACCCAACATCTAACAATCCAAATTGCCCCACTCTTTAACCAAAATAGGTGCAGATGCTGAACTCCAGGCAAACCGTTAAATTGTATGTTACCCTCATATTCGTGTTACGTTTCATATTCCTGATGTGTATGTTGTACCATGTACTTGTGTTAAAAAATGTCCTGTTCTCTTAGTATTTCTTTCTTCGTCTGGTGACCCTGCAGTCCTTCTGCTTTCCAATTTCAAACTGACCACATTAGGCATAGAAGCACATCCATCTCAGCATGTTTAGTTTACTGGCTGTGTTGGGAACACCGTGCCTGTTCTCCAATAGACTATCTTTGTGATGACCCCCCTTCCTTCATAGCTCTTCACTGGGAAGATCAGTATATTGCTTTTTCTCTGCCTCTTGTTGACATAAAGACTTTTTGACACTGCTAGAATACTTTGACCTAATCCAGTTCATTGCACCCCCACACATATCAAAGGACACACCCTGGACCATATTATTGCTAATGGCTCTTTTGTCTCTGTCTGCTCTTCCCTTGACTTAGGACTGTCTGACCACCTAGCTATTCTTTTCAAGCTGGAGTAATGGTTTCTAACACCTCCCTGTCTTGATCTGTAAATTTACGCAACTGGGCTTCAATTGATCAGCCCAAATTTGCAAATTTTGTTACTTCCTCTCTGTCTATCCTGCATCCCCTCCTCTGACACCCTTGTTGACAAAATAGATGCCCTTAACCACTTACCGGCCACCGTATAGCAGATATACCGCTACACACGGCGGCACAGGTGTCCAAAATCACACATATATATATATATATATATATATATATATATATATATATATATGTGTGTGATTTTGCATTTCTGGGTAGTGGGCCGTGGATGCAAATCACCAGTTCCCGGCCGGTGAATACCCGCCCGCCACCTGGTAATTACCAACAATCACCAACAGGGAGGAAGACTGCTTTGTTTACAGTCTTCCTCCCTGTCAGCTGGGGCACACTGCTCGGGATGGCTGTGTACAGCACAGCCATCCCTATCAGTGTGCTTACAGTGAAACACACACCCCCTGCCCCTTGTAAAACACTCCTTACACACAGTTAACCCTTTGATCACCAATCACATTAACCCCTTCCTGCCCAGTGTCATTAGTATAGTGTCAGTGCTGTTTTTTAGCAGTGACACAATTGGTGTCACTGGGGATCAGTGACACAAAGTTAGTTCCTCCCAGTGTCAGAATGCCCGCGTCAGTCCCAGTGTCAGTCCTGCTAAAAGTTGCTGATCGCCTCCATTATTAGCAAGAAAAAAAAATCCCAGTATCTATACTGCCATTTGTAAACGCTGTAACTTTCATGTAAACCAATTAATTTACACGTATTGGGATTTTGTTTAGCAAAAACATGGAGCAGAATATATTAAATTTATGACGAAATTTAATTTTTTAATTTTTTCTACTGGTCATGTGTCAAGGTCCTACCTTTTCCCAGAGGTTATGCTGCTGCATGTGCTGGCATCCATCTTGGGTTTCTGCAGAGGGGTGTGGTTGATCACATATAAGCCTGTTGCCCGCACGTGCTCTTTGCATTCGTGTCTTTTTATGTTCGTGTTGCAACAAGCTCTGTTTCTACTCTTGTGGCTCTCCTGGAAACTGACTTGGCTTTTGACTAGACTGTTCTCTGCGTTATCCATTTATCTGACCTCCCGGCCTGCACGACTACGCTATTGTCTTATCTGGTTCCTACCAGCTACACGCCATTGACGGTGGCCATTACCACAGCTAGGGTGTCTCAGGGGCCGCGACCTGGTCCCTGGCTGCGTCATGTCCATCCCCACCATCAGGGGCCCTGGTGAAGGGCAGCCTGGGACGTAGACTCCGCGCCCTGAGGGACTCCGGTCTGTGGGTGGTGGTTGTCATCAGTCAGTGCGTGACCCTGCCATTAGGCCTGCCTGTCCGTTCCACAGCTCCTGCCCTGACATCATGTTTAATAACAAAAAGTCCAAAATATTGTTGTTTTTTTTTTCAAAATTGTTGTTTTTTTTTGCTTATAGCACAAAAAATAAAAAATGCACAGGCAATCAAATACCACTAAAAGAATTCTCAAGTCGTGGGGAAAAAAGGGCGTAAATTTCATCTGAGTGCGGTGTTGCATGACCGTGCAATTGTTAGTTAAAGTAACACAGCGCCATAACGCAAAAAATGGCCTGGTCAGAAAGGGGGGTAAATCCTCTGGATGGCTAGTGGTTAATCATGCTCTTTCATTTTCCCTTGACACCTTTGCCCCATTAAAAACTCAAATTGTTTAATTCTCCCCTCCGGCTCTGTGGTTTAGTTCTCACCTATGCTTAATAAAGGCCGTCTCACGGAGACTGGAGTGCAGATGGCGCTGTTCTAGCCTGTCTGCTCATTATCAGATCTGGAAGGACCACTTGTGTGTCTATAAGGGTCAATTTGAGATTGCTAGATCAAATTATTTCTCCCATGCCATTGAAAAAAATCTTAGCAACCCTAGGCAACTCTTCTGCCCCATTGACAGATTAATAAAACCTTGTTGCCCCTATACATTTTTCCAGCTTCAACACAGCTCTTTAACATATGGCGTAGTAAGAATTTGATGCTTTATTTTGTCAATTTATGAGGACAAAACAAAATCTAAGAATGTGTTTCTTCCACACCACTTCCTGACCCACCCAGTTTGAATGGTTCTTCTCTCTCCTACTTCTCTCTACTCGACTTTGCATCTCTGATTAAATTGGTCTCTAATATGACATTTTCCACCTGCATACTTTATTCTATGCCCACACATTTATTTAAATCCTGTTTTAGTTCTCTATGCCCAATTATTCTCAATATTGTAAATGAGTCTCTTAGCTCTGGTTTTGTATCAACAATCCTCAAAACTGCTGCCATCACTCTGGTACCTAAAAAACCCAACATGGCTCTGGATAACTTAGGTTACTTAAAGGCAGGTGATTATGTAACTAAAATATCACAGCCCACTCAAGGATCGTAGCAAGGAAGAGTATATTAGATATTGGGCAAAAGTTGTCTATTTGAACCCCTCCAATCTGGTTTTTGGAAACTGTACAGCACAGAAACTGCCTTGGTCAAAGTCACTAATGACCTTCTGTTAGCTTCTGATTCTGGCTCACTAACTATTCTTATTCTCCTGGATCTTAGTTCTGCGTTTGATACTGTAGACCGCAATCTTTCACTCTTTCACTTTGAAACCATATTTGGAGTCTCAGAATTGGCTCTGAAATGGATTAAGTCATATCCCACTGATTATTGTCACTTTTGTTCACTTAGCGGATTCCAGTCTGATGCTGGTGCAGTCAAGTACGGTGTTCCTCAGCGCTCAACCTTGGGTCCCTTGCTTTTTAGCATTTACATGTTTCCACTTGGCCAACTGCTTAGATCACATAGACCCAATTATCACTTCTCTGTTGATGACACTGAGATATACATCTACACTAAATCAAATTCTCTCTTTCTCTGCTTCTCTCCTATCTAATTGTATTTGTGATAAAAAAAAACTTAGATGGCACACAATTTCCTTCAATTAAACTGTGACAAGACTGAAATCATGCTTATTGACACCCCCCATCAATTATATAATACCAGTTCTGGTAGCCTATCTATTAATGGCACTGTACTTGAGCTCCAGTCTAAATTGAAAAATCTAGGGGTGATATCTTGATGATAGTTTAACCTTTGATCCACATGTACAAAATGTTGTCAGAACATCTTTTTTCTACTTGAGAAACATTGCTCGGCTGTGTCCTATGCTATCATACACTGTGGTGAAAATCTGATCCATACATTTGTGTTCTCCCGATTTGACTACTGTAATGCTCTACTCGCTGGTGTATCTGAATCCATAATTTATCGACTTTAATATGTACAAAATTTTGCAGTCAGAATCCTGACTACATCTGGTACAAGTGACCATATTACCCCTATCCTGGAGTCCTTGCACTGGCTACCCGTCAGGTTTCCCATGAACTTTACAATCCTCTTGCTCACCCATAAGACTTTTTATGGCTTGGCACCCCTTTATCTCTCAACTGTTATTAACATACTGCTGCCCTCGTAACCTCTGCTCCTCAAATTATGATCTTCTGTGTGTCTCCCCCTCTCTACTCACCTACACTCGATAGGAGACAGAGCTTTCCCCTGTTATGCTCCAAAACTCTGGAATTCACTTCCAAAGAACATCAGAGAGTCATCTTTTCTAAACTCATTCAAATCAAATCTAAAAACTTTTTTCTTTAGACAAGCTTTCAAGTAATTTCCCCCTTTTTTCCTTTATTTTATCCTGTGTATTTCTTTTGTTTTCTCTGCAAAGCACTTTATTTTATATACCTACCTTTTAAAGGCGCTATATAAAAATAAAGTTTTTTATTATTATTATTATTATATATCTCATATAAATACCAACAGAATATGGTAACTGTTGCAAAATTCTGTTCAAGAAATGGCAAATTGTACCTTGAAAGTCCGACACAGGTGTATGTCAATATAGTTTGAATTGTATTTGGTGGTTTTGTTTAGGTAAGAAATAGTGTTCTAGTTATTTGTCAGAAGGACTGGTGTGATTTTTTTTAGGTGTCATTTATGGGCTTTTATGGAGTGCTCAATTTCAATCAACACTGCTTTAATAAATAGATAAAATCTTCTTTATGTTCTGCACTTGCTGTACAAAAATATACAGAGCTCACACATCAATGCAGGTATTTTTTGTTCTGCTGTAAGCAAACATTAATTAGGGAGACCCATTCATAACCCAGCTCTAGGCAACTAAAACATGATGATCCCTCAGAGGGGGTGTGTGCCTGCACTGCAAGAGTTAGTTGCTCATTTTAATCTAGGAAAACAAAAAAAAATTACTTCCCCAACACATTCTGTTTCCTGCAGCTAGACTGGTCTCCTCAGTTTTCTCTCCTCTGCACTCCAATAGTCTAGGTTGCTGACACCATCAAGTCACCGCCCTGCACTGGAAGTGATGACATCAAATCCATTGCTAAAACATGGGGGAGCTGTGGAGCAGAGGATCAGATAAGTGACACTGCTTCTCCTCTCTCCTAGCCAGAATCAGCTATTAACACTTTCAGTGGACTCACAAACTCACTGCAGGAATAATTCTAAATTTGGGCTTTAAAGTTACAGTGTCAGGAATGGACTCAGCACTGGTGGTGGGACTCACCTGCTGTGTGGGCTGCAGTACCAGAGCAGACCAGCGGGTGCTCTCAGCAGCCAGAAGCTCACACGTGCAATCAGCAAAACCTGGGGCTGATTGCAGAAAGGTGTATTTAAGGCATGACCAGGCCTGTGATCTGGGCCTTGGTGTATGTTTTCCCATGAGCCTCTGTACCTGGTATCTTGTGTTCCTGCTTCGTTGCTGACCCGGCTTGATCCTGACCTCTGCTGACCGTCTCCTGTTGAACCCCTGGCTTGCCTGACCATCCTTCTGCCTGATCCCCTGGCCCCCGTGAGTTACTGAACCCGGCTTGTGACCTTGACCATTCTCTGCCTGCTCCTTTTGGTACCTTGCTGCCCGCACGTTGCTGACTTGGCCCGTCTGACCACGCTAACTACCCTGCCATCTATCCATCCTGCACGGATCCAGCCGTACCTGCACATACCTCTGGCGGATCCCTCTACCACTAGCAGGTGTACTCAGGGGCCGCGACCTGGTTCCTGTCTGCTCCAAGTCCATCCCCACCATCTGGGGCCCTGGTGAATAAGCAGACTGGGACTTAGACTCCGCGCCCTGGGGAATCCTGTCCTGGGGACCACTAGAGGTACCACCAAACGGTCATTACAGAACCCTACGGCCGGCCTGACCGTTCCACCTCTCCAGCCCTGACTACACCTGTGTTCCTGCACCTACTAAGATTAGTGGAAGGTTGGTTTGTTCACTGTGCATTTATATATATATATATATCTGGGTGGCTAATAATAACCTGTATTATTATACTGTGCCTGAAGCCTGCGTTTCCCTGTGTTGGTCCACACCTTTCTGGTCATTCCTAGATTCCTGACATACAGTATATGCCAACACTCTTTTGCGGTCCTGGTCTATCTCTGGTTAAGTGTTAATATGTAATATTACTGTTTAATATCTGTAATACTAATGCTGAAATGTTTCTAAGACCATATAATTACCAAACACCAGGCCTTGGAATCACTGTGAACATTTTAACAGGGACCTATCAGTAACTTTACAAGTCTGCATACCTTAATTAGTGGCTTATTGTAATATAGTCCTTGAGCCCATGACAAGGGACTGGACCTAGACCGAGAGGTGCAACTGGGAAAAATGTTACTATCGGTCTGCTGCAGGCAGGAAAAAGCATTTCCCCAGTCTCCTCGCTCCCTGTTGTCATTCAGACATTAATATCATAGCAACTCCCAAAAATGTAATTATATTTTCTTTTTATTGTTTGGTAGTCTGTGCCATTGAGTACAAGTCAAGAAGTTCTGCATGTATAGCAGACCATATACTGAGTCCATTCTAGCATTTGTTTTTCCCTACGTACACATTTAACAGATGGGACAGAAAGTATAGTAAATAAGTACATTTTGGGATTGTAGCTCTACTCTTTACGCATTGCTTTGTGAATATCAGTTTCAGAACTTTCCTGTATTACCACCTGCAGGAAAAACCTGGTATTGAAACTCAAAAATCAAAATGTAAGGATTCTCTATAAAGTATTTTCTCATGTCAAAAATTGGACACAGTCCAACAAGCAAATATCCTGCTGTAACTGATCAAGGAGGCCCAGGTGGAGGACTGCTTTGTGATATTAAATAGAGAGGTGAGAGTCTTTGGTGGAAACTGAATTATGGGCTGTAAGCAAAGACAGAGTAGAGATAAATCGGGTGGTATGTTTCTTGTGTTTTCTAGAGCATGCTTGAAAAAAGGTCCCTTTATTGGTTCAGTTCTCATCCCGGAAGGAAACAAATAGAACAAAGAGAGGAATAACTACTCAAACTCATCTTTTATTTTCTGTCATTATAATCCACTGGAGTCCGTTTATCTAAACTGTGAAAGCATGAAAGAAAGTATACACATTGACTCTCTCATTACATTCCCATGTGTGCTTCATGTAATTCTGTACCATTCATCAAGGCATGATATGTATAATTATGCTGTTTAGAAATGCTCATTTGAGGTTTTACACACAGGAAAAGAATTTCAAAATGTATTCTGTACCACAAACTTATATTCATCATGTATATAAGAATAACTGTCTTCAGTGTCTGAAAAGTGTCATATTATGCTCAGTCTCATGGGTAGTTTTTATATACATATATGCCTTTTAAACAATAGTGAAGGCTGAATCTGCGTGGTTTCTATTTGTTAAGGGTTTGGTAAATCTTGTATGAAATTTGGTGAACCTAAAATTAGAGGCAATTCCCATTGAAATCTATGGGAGGAGGGATCTTGTTAAATTCTAGCCATTTTTAGGGTTAATAGGTAAACAAATGCCACAAAAAAAGCATGGGAAGCTCTGCAAAGTCATGGGTATGTGTACAAATGCAAAACAAAAATTAATTTAAAACTTAGCGTATGATGGGGAATTGTCTTTTTATGTAACTTAGAAGAAAATACATAAAAATTTTAAATAACATGCTTGGGTGCCTTAAAGCTGTACGTGGTGTTACAGAACAGTATTAATTTTATAAACAGCATAAACTGGCAGTGCCTCTTTGGCTGTCAAATGTATTCTTTTCTTTTACTTTTACAATTATTTTGGATTACATACAACAGCAGTGACCCAATTTCATGCATTCCAGGTAAAAAAAATAACTTTTTTTTTCAGGCTGCATTAGCAGCGACACGTGTTTTTATAAAAAGGTAATAAAGCCACTTTAACTGATAGATAGGAATTGTCCAGTAGTTAACTCTGGTTTTCCCTGTTCTCATTAAATAAAAATTAAATTAAACGTTAATAGGCATAATGTATACCAGTTAGGCCTATTATTCCTCAGCAAAACTGTCCTGTCACTGGCTATTTTTTTGATCTCTCATTAAAAATTAGGAGACCATAGATGATACAGCAGTGAAAAATTGGCCAGCTGCAAGACAGTTTTGCTAAGGGATAATAGGTCTAACTGGTATATGCCTAACTTTTATGTAATCTAAGTTGATGATGCAATTTGAGGTGGTTTAGATGCACACTGTTTCTGAACTTTGAAACAATGCAGTGGCATGCTACAAACAAAAGGCAGCTCCAAGAACAGATGGTCAATAACAATTAAATTAACTTTTTACACTTTTTAAAGGGGGGCTTCCAGCAAAAAAAACAAAAACGGTTTAACCTTTAGTAAGAGTCTAAAATGCATACAAACCTAAAACACCACCCCCCCTCCAAAACAAAAGCTCTTTTTGCTATGTGCCACATCTAAACATGACCGCTTGCTTCATATCAGCCAACAAATAAAAAGTAGTAAGAAGAAAAGCGACAAAGGGTTTGATTGCTAAAACCATCTCCTCTCTCTATGCAATTTGCCAGATTTAGCCACAACAGCTTCCGCTTAACTGACACTATGGTTGCCCTGTGCCCCCATTTATAGTAAGGGGGCTGCAAATTACTTTACAATCTATTTGTCCTGGTAAGGTTAGACTTTTGAGTTGCACTGGAAGAGGTATAGAGGGAAAATCTTCCAATGGGGACATTTTTCCCAATGACAACTATCTAAAAGAGAATTTCCCTGACTTCATTTTTTTGTCACCACCACTGCACCAACACACTATACTACATCAACATGCAGTGCCACACTTACCACCAATGCAACAATGCATAAAAGCCAACTCACCATAATACAATACACCACTCACTGCATCTGCACCACTGCAATACTCACTAACACAGTATTAATGCAAAATTCCCCACTTACCATCACCGCACCAACATGCTATAACCTACTCATTGCCACTGGACCAGTTTGTAATGCCCCACTCCCGAACACTGCACCGATGCACAATTCTGAACTTGCTGTTACTACGACAGCTCAACCGTCTGTACTTGCTGCCCTTTCACTGACCACGCACTGCTGCACTTGCCACCATGGCACCAACAGTCACTCTCTACCACTTTACCAACACACCCATTGCCACAGCACTAACAAGAACTTCTTCACTTATCACCACTGTACCAACATACATACAAATAGATTATTCTTGGAGAGAATGTGTTTTTTCACTATAAAGCTTTATGTGTTTATGGAAAACTGCATAGGGGTTGTGTCACAGGGCCAGTTTAATTGCAAATGATGCAAAGAAGAGTAAAAAAAGGAAGCTCCATTTATAACCTATGTTTTTTTCATCAGAAAGTGATCCTACAGACGATACCTGGACACTTGTAACTCCAGTTCCTCAAGTAAGATACCTTTTCATAGATTTACCAGTTCTTAGCAGATTTCATTAAACTTCCCAGCTATAGCAATTTGAATGTAACTGCAATCAGTTGATGATGGTTCTAAATGTGAAGCCTGCATCCAAATATACAAATTGTATTTGCTCGGATTAATAGAATTAGCTTAAAGTTGAAGTGTAGTTTCCTCCCAGCCAGCTCCTTCTTCCTTCCACCCCCACTCTAAAGCCTTCATGGGATTTCTCAAGGATGGAGAATGGAAGTGGGAGCCTGGATTTGTGCTTTAAAACACCTTCTAGCATCCACCAACAGTCCTTTGGTTGCTTCTCTGTTGGAGACCTTTAACTGCTTTGAATATAACGTTGAATGAAACACAGAGAAGTTGAAAGAATAACTTTTCCAGTATTTGTGTTGATTACAGACCTCGCAGATTACAGAGTTGTGGTTGCTGATTATATGAAGTAATGTGCAGCTTTTTCAAGTCAAATAAGAAATTAGACAAAATTTCAAACAATATTCTAGTTATCTACCACTAAATATTATTTTTTTACCTAGATTGCACTCCTTTTCTTTAATTAAAAGGACATCACAATGACCTGCCCCAAAGTTTATTGATGATTATAAAATAAACATGCATATAACATTGTCTGGCTGTACCAGTCTCCTGTTCTACTGATGTAGCTTGACAAATTGGAGCTCCCACAGTGACTGCCAAGTAATCAGACTGTGACAAATGCCTTACTACTAGCAATTTGTTTTCATTTTACTGAAAATTTCCCCCGCCACAGCCGTCATCTTAACAATAAAGCTACCATACAACCAATTTTTTCCTTACATTACAGCGGTCTGGTTGAATCACAATAATTCTATTTCCAATCTTGGTATTATTTAAAATTCTCAAAGTTTTTAGTAAGGAAAAATGTTGTTTTTAACCCTTTGTGAATGTTTTTAAATCATACTAAACCTGCTTTAAATAAACAAATGATTTAATTTATTGTAAAACAAAAACTTTGTGTTGCAATGTTTTTCTGAAACAGAAATTCATGAAACAGCAAAACAATATCTGTCAGCAAGGCAGGGGTAGAATAAAAGGTTGGCTTAATGAATACAGCCATCCAAATAATGTGGTTCACAAATATAATACATATGGGTACATACAATATGACAAGTCTACATTCACAATGCTGTTTACATTTTTTAAAGCTGAGCAAGGACCCATAGCTTTTCCTGTATGTTGTGGATAAGTCTAAAAGTGCAATGTTAGCTCCAAGATATGATCCTGATTATAGTATATATCCAGAGAAAGGGGAAGGAAGGAATGAAGAAAGAAAAAGGAAGGAATGGAGGAAGGAAGGAATATGGTAAACCATTTTTTTTGTCCCCAGTATAATTATATCTGATTCAATGGCACCCAATTTTCTCAAACTGGGTAATTTTATTATGAAGAATAGAAGAAAGCTTCATTTTAGCCATTATGTAAGATTGTTTCTGTCTAAAAAAATCAACATTATCTGAAGGAAAAGCTAATTTTTAAACAGCGTTTGCACAGATGTTATCTAGGGATTACTAAAGAGCTGTGACAGGACAGAGGGCATAATAAACAGCTTACAACAGCCTCTATGCACAGGTATTATTTGTATATTATTATACAGGATTTATATAGCGCCAACAGTTTGCTCAGCGCTTTACAATATAACGGGAGACAATACAGCACAATACAGTTCAATACAAGAGGGATAAGAGGGCCCTGTTCCTTGGAGCTTACAATCTAGGAGGGAGGGGCTAGTGGTACAAAAGGTAGTAATTGTGGGGGATGGACTGGTTGGAAGAGTAGAAGATTCCATTATTAGCTGAGGGCAGGATAGGCTTCCCTGAAGAGATAGGTTTTCAGAGATCGCCTAAAAGTGAGCAGAGTAGGCGATAGTCTGATAAATTGGGGTAGAGTTCCAGAGGATGGGGGAAGCTCTGGAGAAGTCCTGGAGACAAGCATGGGAGGAGGAGACAAGGGAGCTAGAGAGTAGGAGGTCTTGCGAGGAGCGGAGAGTACGATTTGGATGGTATTTAGAGACAAGATCGTTGATGTAATTTGGGGCAGTTATAAATGGCTTTATACGTTATTGTTAATGTTTTGAATTTTATCCGTTGGGCAATGGGAAGCCAGTGGAGGGATTGGCAGAGAGGGGTGGCAGATACAGAATGGTTAGTAAGGTGGATGAGTCTGGCAGCAGCATTCATGATAGACTGAAGAGGGGATAGCCTGCGATTAGGTAGGCCAATGAGGAGAGAGTTACAATAGCCAAGGCGAGATATAACAAGGGAGTGAAATAAGTTTCTTAGTGGTTTCTGAGGTTAGGAACGGGCATATCTTGGAGATGTTGTGGAGGTCTACAAGATTTGGACAGTGAATGGATTTGGGACTGAAAGGACAGATGGGAGTCTAGGATTACACCTAGTACCCTGGCATGAGGGGAGGGACTGACGATTGTGCTATTGATCTTGATGGAGAAGTCAGCGGAGGGGGACTAAGAGCTCAGTTTTGGAAAGATTGAGTTTGAGGAAGTAGAGTGACGTCCATGCCGATATGTCATTTAGTAGGTTAGTAATGCGAGAGGAGACTGAAGGGGTGAGGTGAGGGATAGAAAGATAGATTTGTGTGTCATCAGCGTAGACATGGTACTTAACCTCCCTGGCGGTATTCCCGAGTGTAGCTCGGGGTAAAGTTTCTGTACCAAAAGCGGTAACCCCGAGCTACACTCGGGCTTACCATGCGGCGCTGCATAGGGAGTCACTCCAGCGCTTACCTTGTCCTTCGCTCCCGCGATGTGTCCCCTGCAGCGTCCCCAGCCATCTCCTCCGGCTGATGCCGGCATCTGGCTTTTGTGTTCCGGTCCCTGTGACGTCGGGACGTACGGGCGCCGCCGCCGGCGTGAAATTTGAAAATTTTAAAAAAATGTATTTTTTTCAAAACAAATTTTACATAGTAAAACATTTCTGTTTCAAACCATTTCACATACATTTTGTCCCTAGTGCTTTGTCCTGTCCCCTGTCTGCATTTTGACTGTTCTTTCTGCCTGGAAACTTAGAAAAGTCCATGGCGTCCAAAAAGCGTCCCTTTAGGTCAAAAGCGTTTTTAGACCGGCTAGAGAACAGCGATAGTAAATCAGAACCACTTCCAGAATTGAGTGATAATGATTCGTCGAGAAATTCGTCATCAGACACTGTAAACAATTTTTCAACTTTGCTCAGTGATGTGCGAACTTGGCGCTATATGTCAAATTTCAGTGTTTTTGGTTTGATTATATTATTGAATTAAATGTATTATTATTATAATATTATTTTTTATGATTATTTATTAAATTATAATTTATGATTTTGTGTTTCAAATTTTATCATACCCAGGATGTTTAATAGACTCTTGTTCGGACAGATTTCAGTGAGTTATTCCTAAATTTTACAGCCTACAATAAAAAAAAAACTACATATTTCCATGCAAAATAATGGTACCGCTTTCAGCACCAAAAATCTGAAATAATCATACCGCCAGGGAGGTTAAAGATGGTACTTAAAGCCATGGGAGTTTATCAAGTGACCAAGGAGGAGGTGTAGATGGAGAAGACAAAGGGGTCCAAGGACAGGACCTTGAGGGACCACTACAGAAAGAGGGAATGAAGAGGAGGAGGCAGCGTTATAGGTAACGCTGATGGAGCACTGCGATAGGTAGGTGGAGAACCAGGAGAGAGCAGAGTCTCTGAGGCCAAGAGAGTGGAGTTTTTTGAGGAGGAGGGGATGGTCAACACTATCTAAAGCCGCAGAGAGGTCAAGTAGGAAGATTATGGAGCAGTGGCCATTGGTTTTAGCAGTTAGTAGATCATTAGTGAGTTTTAGTAGGGCAATTTCAGTGGAGTGTAGTGAGCGAAAGCCAGACTGTAAAGGGTCAAGAAGGTTGTTGTCAGTGAGGTAGGAGCTCCGACGATTGTAGACTAAGCGTTCTAGGAGTTTAGAGGTAAATGGAAGGTTGTTGGGGTCCAGGGAGGGCTTTTTAAGTATAGGAGTGATGTGTGCATGCTTTAGAGGGGAGGGGAAGGCACCAGTAGAGAGGGAAAGATTGAAGATGTGAGTGAGGAAGCATAGGATGGGAGAAGAGGGTGACCGTAGTAGTTGTGAGGGGACAGGATCCAGGGGGCAACTAGTGAGACAGGCTTCTGAGAAAACCTTAGTGACCTCTTTGGTAGTAGCAAGGTCAAAAGAGGAAAGTGTTGAGGGAGGTTTAGTATAAGGTATGCTAAGTGGGATGGATGTCTGTGCAGTGGTGATGCCCCTACGAATTACATCAATCTTGTTTTTGAAATGATTTGCAATCTCGTGAGCAGTGAGTGGGGTACTGGGTGGAGGTAGAGAAAGTAGAGAGTTAAAAGTAGAGAAGAGACAACGAAGACTGGATGACAAGGTATTAATAAGATTGACAAAGTAGACTTGTTTGGCAGCATGAAGGGCGGAATTGTATGTTAAGAAAGCAGGTATAGAATGAAGAGGAATTGCATGGTTCACTTAACAGGTGGTCCTGTAATTTTAATTTGGTTTTTTGGGTTTTTTTAATATATATATATTATTAATAATTTGTTTTCATGTTGTGTTTTCCAGTTGCGGTGTCACTGCTTTACGCACAAAAGGGTAATCCCTATAGTCTCTGAGCAAGATATTAGGAACACACAGAACAATATAGAGGAGTGTCTGTACCAGATAGGGACATTGGTAAGATTTTTCTCTTGAGATTATAAGTGGAGAGACCACAAGCTTGGTTATAAATAATATGCTCACATTTCTTAGAAAGTAGTATTGATTGCGAGAAATCATATTAACATTAATCAATGAACACTTGCAGTTTGTAATAGTTTAACCCCCAAGTTCCGTAGTGAATCATATATTATAGTGATGTTTTAGTGTAGATGAAGGATGTTTAGAGGTAAGAGCACTCGTGTTGTACTAATGTTGGTTTTAGACAATAACCTTCTTACAACCAACTAAATTCTTACACTTCAGTTCTAAGAGGTGCAACAGAAATAAATCTTGATCTACAACACTTTTGTATTGACAATTCTGGAGTTGTATGGATGGGATTCTGGCAAAACATACAGTAAATACATATTAATTACTGTTATAGATATAGTATGTTCTTTAAAGAGTTTATGCCATGGGAATATAAACCCCAAACTGCTGCAGTTTTAAAGTTCAGGCACCAAGAGGTACCTGCAGCAGCCTCCCAAACCCTCCTGTCATGAATGAATTCTAGACCATTCTGATTGACAAAGTTCAGCATGTTCTGATGCTGATTCTTGCCTACCACTTTCTGCCTCCTGCATATTTCAGAGGGCCAGTAATCCTATACATCATAGTAATTGACTAGTATGAATGTGTGGGGGATTTGTGGCTAGCTCCCAATTACATCATTATACCCTTGGTAAAGTAATATATAATTTATGTAAAGGTTGATTAGTATCAGTACTGGTACTGTTCAGAGTCTTGAAATGTTTCATGAGCTTGTAGTTTCACAGCAGCTGGATTGCCAAGGTTGCCCACCCCTGCCCTACAACCGGAGCTGATGGCCAATTACTATATATAGTAAGAGAGAGTAGCCCAGTGTACTTTTTCAGAATGACTGACAACCACTGACCACCATAGACAGATGACCAACCAAAGCAACCCCAAGATGATATAATGGCAGGTGCTTCACTAGGCTTGTGAGTGGTTATTAGTTTGGAAAGAGAACAAGAGACCATTATTCCAGCATTTAGGGTATATTATGTGGCTATAAATCTAGTGGTATTAACAGATGGGCACATTTTCCTTTCTGCCTCCTTCAGAAACACAACCAAAACTGGCAATCAGTCTGGAGTATGGAATATAGCTATCTATCATCTTGGGGTCTCTTTGGCTGGTCATCTGTCTATGGTGGTCAGTGGTTGTCAGGTCATTCTAAAAAAGTGCACTGGGCTATTCTTTGGAGAAAGCAGCTTTTCTGGCCAACTGGATAGTTACAGTATATATAGCAATTGGCCATCAGCTCAGGTTGTAGGGCAGGGGTTGGTAACCATGGCACTCCAGCTGCAGTGAAACTACAAGCCCATTAAACATTTCAAGACTCTGAACAGTACAAGACTTGGCAGCACAGAAATTACTCCCAGAGGCAAAGGCATGATGGGATTTGCAGTTTTACTAAACCTGAAGTGCCCAAATTGTCTACCCCTGTTGTAGGATGTGTGATATGGCTCCTTATTTGGGGAACTGAATATGGTTATTGACCCAGGGAATGTGGTGCAGATTCCCAGAAGTGCATTAGATGTTGTTTTCAGGTGAACTGAGATATAAACGTTATTGCATATCTTTATATTTTTCCACTTAGAAATTACTTATTATGCCTCACCTCATATAGGATGAAAAGTCTCATTGGGATCTTACCTGGAGGTTGGAATACTATCTGCCTGGCTATAGAGAACGTTCTGCCACAAGACAAAAACCAGGTATAAAGATCAGGAGTGTCACTATTGTTAAGATCTAGCTCTGCAGATACAGTATTTACCTAAAGTTTCTCTATTCATTTTAACCTCTCAGCTATAGTATTTTGATTATTTAAATCAAAAACTCTTGACTGAAAGCAGGTTTCATAACTTGTTTGTTTTTACCCTAAATAACCACAAAGCCCTCCTCTGTGTTCCTTTCTGGTCTAATTTTACTTTATTATTAGGAGTCTACCTTTTGTGATTTTTTTGCTAAGCCCTTCAAACCAGCTATCCTTCTGTCTAATTCCTTAATGTGTATCTCAAACCAAATCTTTTTTTTCTGGTTCTGGTTAAAATAGGGAATTTTTTTTCTGTCTGTGTATCTACTGGGAGACCGTATTTGTACTAGTGACCATAGTCGCTAGTACTGACAGTGAACAAAAATTCAAAATTCAGATTTGTCAAGAAATAGAGAGGAAGTCTTCCCATGAGGACACTTGTTCCAGGGACAATTGTCTAAGAAAGGATTTTGGAGAGATTTCTCCTCACTTTCCTGTGTCTGCAATGCAGGGCATTATAGGAAATATTCCCAGCGGAACACTGAAGGCAAAAAAATGTTTTAACACTTCCCTACTGTAAAAGAAAATGTTTAGGTTTTAGAGAGGGTTTTTTAAAGGCCGTGCTTATCTAGGGAATTTAAGCTTTAGCAACAAAGTGAAACTAAGTTAGAAGGCACCCAGGGGAGGGCTTCCTAAAACATAAAGTTAGTAGTACCTTTTAACGTTTACATTTATTAGTTTAAAATGGCTAAATCTAAATCTAAAAAGACTACTAAATCTAAAAAAAAAGTAAAAACTGAATACGGAAAGCTGCTAATCACATTTATAACTGTAGGCTTAACTTGAGAAGCTTTAGTGATCTTCATTTTTAGCCAGGTGACTGTAAATTTCAAATCTCATTAGACTTAGCTGAAAATAATTGTCTCTTTATTTTTTAAGGAAGGTTCATTATTCTGGTGTGATACCTTTTTTCAATGGAATCTAATGTATGTACAAGTAGAGAGTAGTACAGACATGTACAGAAACAGGACAATTTGACAGTTATGTAAGTTTTCTGCACATCCCATTGCTTTTTGTTAGCTAACTCAGGCAAGAATTGGCACCAAAATGACAATATGTAGTTTCCTTTTTGGGCTTATGGAAAATACTATTTTGCACTATGTCTACTTAATTTTAGATATGGTCTTTTTTTTATTTCTACTGAAATAGTAGCATATTTATTCATGATAATTACAAAACGTTTTTAGATGAGCCTCTTTCCAACAATTAAATGATTATTTAAAGATTTAACCATCTGGTCACATCACAAGCATCAGTGTAGAAAGGAACTCCTGGAAATGTTAGTATCATTTGTCACTTGCCCTTTCCAGTTCTACTTATTCTTTAGATTTTTAGGCCAAATTTTATATCAGACTAGCACACCACTACTGTTTACCTCCAATTTTATTGGTCATTGCGTAATTAGGTTATCTTCTGTAGAATAGAATTGGCTTAAATGTCTGGTAAACACTACCTGCTGGCTTGAATGAAAAAAAAAACTGAAGAGCTCGTGAGGAGGTCTTTGTACTAACTATGCAATGTTAGTACTGCCATCTCCCCGCTGAGCTATTGTGTTCTCACAGAAGGACTGCCCCCCTGCCAGAACACAGCGGTCAGCGCTTTCGCCATTGGCTGAGAGCACTGATCAGATGCTGATTGGCAGATGTTTTTCTAGAATGCCCGTTCTACAGAAGCTGGACGTTTGGCCAGCTTCTGTCGGGCAGGCTGCTGTACACAATGGCCGAATGTCGGCCGGTTTTTTTTGAACCGGCCTATATTTGGCCCGTGTGTACCAGGCTATAGTGACTTTTTAATTTTTTTGCATTGATTGATTGATTTAAATGTTTGACACAATGGGGTTGATTTGCTAAAGTTAAATAGGCTGTTTCTGCTTAGTGAATGAGGTGAAGCTTTGCCTACTTCCATCATCAAATCACATGCAAGCAAAAATACAGTTATTTCATTTTCCTTGCATGTGATTGAGTGTTTTTTGCAAATCAAATTTTGACCACATTCATTATGTTAAGGGAAAATTCAGGTGCAAATTGGACAGTCCATTTACCTTAACTAAATAAACCCTAATATGTTTCCTGTTACCTTACATACTATCTTGTAGTTTATATGCTAGGATATTTCTATGTAGCTTCTACTGCACTATATGATGTCATACTTTTTGTAACCTCTTATGTAATTATACCTTTCATCGGAGCTCATTTCCTCAGATGACTAGATGGCAGTGCAATCCAGAATAGTAAAGATCATATATCTGTTGCATTGTTCTTCACCCTTATTATATGTTACTCTTCATTAATTTATTTAGGGTCCAACTGAAGACATGGAAATATATATGCAGTCAGGCAGACACTTTTAATAACCATTTTCAGAGTATTATCTCTACTTTTCAGTTGTAGTAGCTATGCAGGTTTAATATACCTGTACAGTTCAATAGACACCAGAGTTAAACCTACTTCACTTAGTTATCAGTACTCGGTAACAGAACTGGTCAGCCAATCCCCCTTACGTCTTCAACACATGTGAAGAGTGGTGTTGTTACTCATCTATTCATGAACAAAGCAGTAGCATTAGAGGACAGAAAGTAGACTTATTAAGGGAGAGACAAAGGTATGCAAGGCTACAAGTACTAAAAAGGGTACAGGACTATAAAGAGATAAAAGGTATAAAACCTCATATGGACTTTAATTCCATGCTATTTTTCTTCCATATTTTAGTGGAACTCCAGCCTGCACAATATCACAAAAAGGATCATACAGATGATGTTTTTCAGAGGCTATATACCCCAAGAAGAAGGTAAGGAAGAGGCCACTAAACACTGATTGAAATACCCCACATAATGCTATATTTAACATAGAATTCTATGTGCTCCTGTGTATGTCCTTGGACTGAGTTACATTCAGCACTTTTGGAGATGTGGTTCTGGGGAAGGGGGGTGTTGTTGAACAAAGTTCAAACATTAAACATTAAAATTGGCAAAGCAAGCTGAGCCAAATAAAATAGACCAATATTTTAGTGAAGGGCTGTTGCCAAACTTTCTGGTGTAAGCTGTTGGGTTACCCAGACAGGAACTTTTTTTTTCTTTTTCAATGATTTTTATTAGTTTTTCAGGCATAAAAGTACAAATTCAGCCAGACATTTCAGATAGGGATATAACAAAGCATTCTGAAATGTATCAACAGGTAAAGGGGAACTAGACTTCCCCTAGACTAGACTCCTCACAGCCTCAACTATGTTATCTAAGGTTAGTATACTAGATATTCTATCTCAAAGAGTACTAAATAATAATTTATAACACAACAAGGATGAGAACATTCTGTATTTTTCTCATGGCAGAAAAGTTGAGATAAAAACAGGGGCTTCCATTACTGACATCCTACCGAATATTCTAGTTGCTGGCTCTCATTGACTTTGTACTTTCTTAGTCAAGAATCTGAAGCAAGTATTCAGCAAGTGAAGTCAGAACTCCTTATTTAAATTAAAATGAAGGTGGTTTTAAAGGATGCATTGGGCATAGCTTTTAGTGAAGCTCCTTTCAGTTATCCTGAACTTGTTCTTGTGCAGAAAAAAATAGTGTATTGTAATAATTGCAATTATTTGTTTGCAATACCTTTGTTGTCAGTGTAACTTCATTGTTGACTGTGTATTGTAACTGTAATAAAAACCTGAGCTTGCACATGCGTGCTATTCGCTGATTGGTAACTAGGAGAGCATCACAGGGCTTGTAGAGCACCATGGGAAGGTATTCTTAAAAGTAGATTTTGAAAACACATTTTCCTAAGCAGCATTACATGCCAAAATTAGAGACTAATTTTGATGAAATTTTGGCAAAGCCAAAATTGATACTTTTGCTACTATATCAGTTGTGCTGAAATCGCTCTGGTCATTCTTACTAACTATCAAATTCCTTGTTTCAGGTCAGTGAATTTGACCTGTTTCTGTCATCAAAGGAATATGGTTATGTTAGCCATGCAATGCAACTTGCATTTTCAGGAGGAAGATCAGCTATGGCAACCCTCCTTAACTAGCCGTGATGGGCTTTCTTTAAACCTATACCTGCAAAGGATGTGTCCCAAACATCATAGCAATCAAAAGCTTAAAACAAACTAACAGATGAAATAGCATTTGTGTTCTGTGGGCTCTGCAATTTCTTGCAGAAATGATCTGGTCACTGTAACATGTCAGTAAATGCATTAAAGGATAGGTGTGGTTTTACAATAAAGCTAGCCTATGTATACTCTCCTTAAAATATTTAAAGCAGTATTAAACCCAACACTAAAAATGTTTTATATTGTGGCTTACCAATCATTAGATGTGATGGCTGCATCAGTTTCTTTTCTTTGGCTTTTCCCCTTAGTTTTCACCTGCTGATCTGGCCAGTAACACATCTCATGTATTACACTCTGGATGAAAGAGCACAAGGGGTACAGCAGACATCAGCATTGTCAGTCTGGAGTGCTAAATATATTAGCTGATTTAGATACACTAACAAACGGAAGCTGAACTCCAGCTCACACTTTATAATCAGTTACAGAAAATAGATTTTTTTTTTCCTTTTGGGATAAGGGTTTTCCATGAATAAATAAAAGTTGATCATTTAAATACCCCTGTCATTGTTGAATTTATTGTCATCCATGTAAACTGATACATTCTGCTAGAGGACGTCTGCTTTTGAGAAACAACAGACTTGCTGGCTTGATCACCAGATGAAAATAGAAGAAAGAAAGCCTAAAAAACTTAATGCATCTAAGGCTTGGTAAGCTACAATAAATGAAATGTCTGTTTTTTGGTTTAATACCACTTTAAATATAAACACACATTTCAAAGGCACTATATTTTGTACCCTCTATTTTAAAGTTCACCAATGCCTAGATATTAGATAAGTGTAATAAATATGCTGACAAACATCTAAACTAAACATCTAAACCAAATTTCAACACATCCCTTAATTATGTCAGCAAGTTATAGAATAAAGTGAACACCATCATCAACAAAAAGGCTAATAGGTGTTTATATCCTATTGTTTTGTTTATTTGCTGTGATTGTTTAGATTTTACAGGAGAAAATAATTACAATGCTTCAAACATTTACAATTTCCAAATCAGGTATAATTTGAAACTCCTATGTTTTATGGGAAAACAGGTGGAAACACCTGTTTCCACATTTTGTCTTCCAATCTTTTTCCTGGCCTGGATGTGCTAGTTTGAACATTGCCCCCCAATCTGTGCTTTGGACTGCAGGGGGAATTTCTGCAGTGCTTTGAGCGGTGAGCCAAGTTTTCTGTATAAGAATCAAATTATGCTTTTAGGGGTATATATTTATTAAAACAGTGATATTTATCAAATTTTCACAGTAAGTGGATAAACTGTAATTTAAAACACATGCCCCAGGAAGGTATACTAGTAGTGAATGTTTGGTGAATGTCACATTCACTACTTTATAAATATACCCCCTACCATATGTATTTAGTGTAGTTGCACTCCCAGGCATCCTAGGTGCATAATACATAGGTATTTCCCTGGGATAGTGGAATCTGCTGCTCCTGGAAGTGGTGAATATAGAATATTTTCCTGCAAAATCTCACTTAATGCAATGGGGCAGGTAAGTGATAACCATTTGCTTTGCAGGTATTTCTTCTTTTCAGCTGGTAAAAATAGTGAGAGGGTCTCTTTAACAAAGTGCAGGAAAAATTACATGACATCTTGTCTTGTGCAGAACAAACACAAGAAACTACATATATAGTAAAGCAAATACACTAAATAGAGATATCTTATTTAAACTCTTAAGTATTTTTTTTTTATAGAATGGGGAAATTTGGTCAGACCCACTGCCAAGTTTATGTTGCTGTTTGTGTCCCTGTTCTAAAGATTCACCCTTGTTTTTGTACTTAACACCATTACCACCAAGAAAAAAGTAAGGGGGGGGGGGGGGGGGGGGGGTACAAATTTTCTTAATGCTTATATAATTTATGTATATGGACATTTTAGATTTGTCTCCAGGACAACAAAAAAAGGGGAAATGTTCCAAAATGAATCTCTGTTCCAAAGACAACTGTCTAAGAAGGGAGTTCCTCTCATTACGGGAGATTTCCTGTAACTTTATTCTGCACGTCTGGGGCAAGAAGCAAAATTCTAATTAGGAAATTTCACCAATGGTACACAGACATCCAGACAACACAGACAATCCTTTTTTACATTATCCAAAACAAAAAAAAAAATGTTTTGGCTATATATACACTCTGAACTCCATATGTCATACATTTAACTTTTGACCAGATTGCCCTTTTTTAAGAAAAAGAAACAGCATGTCAACTATAGGAAGTGAAAATAAATGGCATCAATATTTATACGGTATTTTATTTTGTGCAGGCTTCCATCACCTTGCCATGCCAAGACTTGTGATGCTTTCAAGTTAGGAATAGATAAGAAGAGTGAGCACAAAAGATCTGAATGTTCAAGATCAATCCTTTCTGGAAAAAGAAAAGCCTTTTCTCAAAGGACTTCTACAACCCCAAACAAGTAAATGGGGCACAATGCTATACAACATACAGAATGCTTGTTACATGCTGAAGAAGAAAGATCACATATATACTTGTACATATTTTTGTTGGTTGTGTGGATATCTATACTTTATTTACAAATTAACATTTGATAAAGGATGCATTCTAGGTTTCCTAAAGAGAGAATACAGGAGTGTTTTTTTTCTTAGAGACTCTCTGTATCTGAAAAAATAAAGTGCAAGGAGTGTAGGGGTAGGGGGTGGGAGTGCTGTAACACAACAGGCTATTTCTTCAGCAAAGCAGTTTGGCAAAAAATAGCCTGGAAATGTGAAATGTTTATAAGCAGTATATCATATTTTCCTAATTAAAAGTTGAGAAAAATTATTTCGTATTTCTTTTTACTTTATCCTGAAAAAACATTTAAAAATTACTATATATTCTCTTCACTAATGAGTAAGTGTATTTGGATGTGCTACCTATAATGCTGCCACCTCCCCCTCACTACCCCTCTCTGTTGGGGTCTCCCAAGGCTCTGTCCTTGGGCCCCTTCTCTTCTCCATCTATACCCCCTCCCTTGGCCAGCTGATACACTCCCACGGCTATTTATTATAATATTAACATTAACGTACAAAGCTGTTCATAACACTGCCCCAAAATACATCACCGACCTGATATCCATCTACCACCCAAAACACACTCTCCGCTCCTCACAAGACCTCCTTCTCTCCAGTTCCCTGGTCTCCTCCTCCCATGCCCGTCTCCAGGACTTCTCCAGGGATTCCCCATCCTCTGGAACTTACTACCCCAATCCATCAGACTGTTACCTTCCCTCCTCACCTTCAGGCGCACCCTGAAAGCCCATCTCTTCAGAGAAGCCTACCCTATAATGTACAGCGCTGAGCAAACCGTTGGCGCTATATAAATACTGTATAATAATAATAATGATGATATGCTTGAAACAGACCACTGTAACACACAAATTCAATGTCTCTTCTGCAAAAAATGCCCCTACCTAAATTGAGCTGTCCATATAAAGTTCAGCTTACTCTAAGCCAATCTGTATGTACCAGAATGACGGCCTCCTGCGCAAGCACAGGAGTGATGTCATTCACCAGCCAATGAAGACAAATGAAGACCAGCACACAGGAGAAAATGTAGGCGCTGCTTAAACAGATTTTATTCATCTGAGTACTACTTTTACAGCCATTCAAGACAATGTATTGATGGACCATGTTTGGCCAATGGCATCACCCTGGATCCCCAGAGTTGTGTTAAAAGACATGGTCTGGTTCAGGAAG